GTGTGTGTGCGCGTATGGGTGTGGTACGTGTCTGTGTGTGTGTTTGAGAGAGATAAATGAGGGAGGTGGTGATGGGTTTATTGGTGGTGGGTCCCAATTAATTTATTGGTACAATGTCTAAATTACCCTTAATGATCTCTTAATGAATTATTAGTAGTGTATTTTTTATGACCGTTAGATCATCTGATCATATGGCTATCATTCATTCTTATTTCTTTCACTAAGATTCATTCTCACTGGAACCCAACCCTATATATATATATATATATAGGGATTGGTTTTAATGCGGACAAATTTTTAAAATGTGGACGTAAGACCGCATCTCGTCCGTTCTTTCCGCATCTAATCTAACGTTCAGGATTAATTCATTATATCAGTTAATTTTCGCGGGCGCTTCTTCATCTTCTCTTGACCAACACACTAAACATGCTTCCCAGACTTTGCTGTTTGGGCCCGTTCAGACTCGTCCGAGCTCGAAATTGAGTTCTATTTCTTTCTATATGTCGCCAACAAACCCGTCTATACTACCATGATCGCCGATCAACTTTCGGGCTAAATCTATTCCTCACAGGGCTTCTGACCTGCACACCAAAAATGAAAGAAAACTTGGAAAACACACGAGAAACAAAAGAAAGACCAAAATAGAGAAAACCACGAAATAAACTACAAAACGAACTAAAACTCATCCAAAAGACCTAATATGGGGGAAAAAGAAAGACAAAAAGACAACGAAAAATGTGACAAAAATGGGACAAACACAGATGTTGGGCCGACGGATGCTTAAGCCGACCTTCTCCCGCTGACTCTGAACGTTGTTAACGATGGAGATGGGGTTGGAGAGGGAAATCAACGGCGACTGAGATGAGGCTCGAGACAACGGAAGTCGTCAATTGGAGAGTTTTTTGGGGTATCTGTGATTTTTCTGTGGCCACTAAACGTGCATGAGAGGAAGGGTCGAGGTGGATGTATGACGACAGTGGAGAAGGAAATTTGTGGACTGCGGCGGGGCTGGTGGAGGTGAGCGGCGGGGTCGGCAGGAGAGTTTTGTGTGTCTGCTGTTCTTCGGTGGTCGTTGGATGTGTGGGAGGGACTTGTTGAGGTGGATGGATGACAGCGGTGGAGGAAGAAGGTTGTGGTATGCAGCTTGGTGGAGATGGCCGGCAGGCACGGTGTGGATCCGGGCGAGGGGTTGAAGTTATGTATGTGTGTGTGTGAAAGAGTTTAATGAAGATAAAATTAATAATTAATTGGTGAGGTTGGTCCACTGCAAGTGGGTGGGTGAGTAAATTAATATTTAATGACTAGATTACCTTATTCATTTGTCAATTACGTACATTTGGCTAGAGCATGTATATTTATTTATCACGATGCCATTAATGATTGACTTCATCTTAGCCATTGATATAACATATCTAATGATCCAAATTCATTCTTATTTCTTTTATTGTTATTCATTCTCATTTGAACGCACTTTTATATGGTCAACATCCCTAGCACATCTTAACCGTTAATTTGACAGATCTTGTGGTGTATATTTGTTCTTATTTCTTTCATTATTTCCCTTTCTTATATGATCTATTCTCTCTCTCTCTCTCTCTCTCTCTATATA